TAATAAATTAATTGAATTAAAATATATTTTCGCTTTTACTTTTTAGACTCGTTTTACATATCGACAGATCCGGTGAGTTTGAATCAATTAATTAAATGAAAATACAATTTCATTTTCATTTTTAGATTCGTTTTATGTATCAATATATCCGGTGAGTTTATTCGAATTATTAAACGAAAATGAAATTTTATTTTTACTTTTAGATTCGTTTTATATTTGGATATATCCGGTGAGTTTATTCCAATTATTAAATGAATATAGAATTTCATTTTTATTTTTAGATTCGTTTTATATCTCAATATATCCTGTGAGTTTGAATCAGTTAATTAAATGAGAATACAATTTCATTTTTATTTTTAGATGAGAATTGTAGTGAAAGGTTTCGTGAGCTGATGAAAATCGTTCAGTAACTATTATGGTTGCGTTGTGTTTTTTAGATTGGAATGGGCAGAGATGGGTGCTTATAAGTTGTTATGAGTTTCGACGCGAAGAAAGCTGGTGAGTTCAGATAATGTTTCGACGAAAAATATGGTTTGTTTTCTCGTTGTATAGGTGTAGAAGATCGGAATGTTTAGCCTCCTGATGGTTTGGTAATGATGCGAGGACGGACAGCAGGGTACTCAAAGTTTTTCTCTGAATCTCGTGTGTTGCCCACCTTTGATGGTTGTGGTAGTTATTTCTAGATGCGGATAGATTCACAACAGAGCCTCATCGAATATCTGGGGCCGCTTTGAATGCTTGTTGCTGCTGGTAGCGTATTGATGGCTTCCTGTCTAGTCTAGTTCGATAGAGCTTTTTCTGTATTCGGAAACCTTTTGTTTGGATTTCCGAGTGAGTATCTGAGGTTTCACTATGATGGATATTATGGGTTTCCGAGACCTCGGAAACCCTTCTTCGGAAACCCTTAAAGGGTTTCCTATAGAAACAAACTCGGAAACCCTCTAAGGGTTTCCGAGGATACCTATTTTTTTTGAGTGTACTCCATATAAATAATAACATGAAGATAATAAGAATTCCTCTCCAAAAGAAGCAGAACACAATCATCAATGAACATGTTTTCAGTTGTTGAATTTATAATATTAGTCGAAGTAATGGCTTGAAGACGCACAATTCTTTGTAAAAATTTGAGATTATATCGTCTTTATAATGTGAGAATCTATATGAGATATCAGAATGTATTTCTATATGAGCACAAGCAAAAGTGAATTGATTATTATTGAAACTCGCATGTTCGAGGCAGAGAAGAAACGCTCATGCTCATATGAGCAACTCATAAGCGTGAGCTGTAAACTCCTAATTTCCACTACTTTGCAATCTTACGT